CAATGGAAAGGCAGATACGTGCAATAACCTCTCCAGGACCTCCTTGTTGAAACAACTTTCTCATATAAATGCACTTGTAACTTCTGGCTGTGTGTCTAAGGTGTTGCTCAAGTGCTATTTATGCAGTATATAAAGCATGGTGCTGCAGAACATACAATTTAGATACTATAGTCCAGTATGCAAGTAGACTTTCAAAGACACCATTTCTTCTATGCCAGTAAAGACTTGGGCATAAATCTCTACATCTGCTTTGCAAGTTTTGCACATGAGAAGATAGATTTTTAAGATACTTATGAATTTAAGTTACTTTTCATTAGTTTTACTGTCAAAAAGTTATGACATGACATAGTTCCCTCTTTCTGGCAAACTGCAAAGAGGCTCCAAAGGAAATAGTGGTGGCATTTAAAGGAAAATAGGCAGTGCGTTCATGAAACTCCCTTTCTTTGTTGCAAAGGAGTGAAATAAGAGTGAAGCCCAGTGAACATCCACAAAGACTACACTAATTGTGTGCAGTGCTTTCCATCAGTATACGCGGGAGGTGAGGTGAAGGCTGTACATTTTTCTATACAGTTGGTATATCTGGGATGTGAGAAACATCATGTCATATATCAGAACTACATAATGGGGCTGAAAAATGGAAAGTGGGCACTTCTCTTTTGCTTCATGAAGCTCAGTAACATATATCTGCTTGGAATATCTGCCCAAGAGATAAGCACAAGACAGGTCAAGAAGGCTTTATATCCAAAAATATATTCCCTATGGTAGGAATTTCAGACTAATCATAAACAAAATTGTCCTTATTTTCTTATCGTCAAAGGTTAAACTTGCAACTTCAATGAAGTCCTCTACTTTATTTTGACCAGCTCCAATAAGATGACCAGCTCCAATAAGTTAAAACAAACACCCTCATCTGACTTCAAATCAAATTGTTTTTATTACAGTGAACAAAAGCAGGCCCAAAGAACATTTGGCCCTCATTGGTCAAAGTGCTGAATGTACAAATAGTATAGAAAAGTCATTGCTTTGAGAAGGTTAAAATCTAAACAGACAGCACTCATATATGGTTTAAAGGACTAAAAAAAGAAACTTATCTCCATTACACAGATGGAAAATTGAGGCACAGGAAGAATAAAAACTTGCCCAAGGTCAGAAAAGAAATCTCTTCAGATACCATCTTTCTCTCTAACATACCTCAGAATAAATTTAGTCACTTATAAAGAAATGCAGTATTCATCCACATAATATACTTCATCACAGGAATCTTTTTTTTTTTAAATAAGATCACTCTAACAACACAAAGCTGCTCTGAATACAGCTTAGCTAGCCAATTAAAACCATTATTTGTGCCAACAGGATAAAACATATCCTTGTTTATTCTTTGAAATGCTTTATTTCAATCTAGGAACTTTCTAACAGCTTCCTCAGAGGACAGGATTTCTCTTCTCTTTCTGTCCAGCTTCCAACATGCTGTCGCTTGTTTTTCTTTTGGATTATATGCTTATGAAGGACACTGTAAAAAGTATGCCTGTATGAACTAAATAAAGCAGAGTCCATCCTAAAGCTGCTTGGACTGTTTTGGAAAGGATACAAAGTTAAATCATATATTCCAGTCACAGAAGCTGCAAAGGAAAGCTGTGCCATTGATCTGATATCAAACACAGTTTACAGTATTTGAGCATAACGGACATGGCTCCCTTAATTATAGTGGATGAAAGCAGGAAGAGCTCTGTTGATGTCTAGAGCTGTAGAAGGAGAACCTCAATGAGGAGACAAGGAGAATCAGGCCCTTTCACTGCAGGAGGATGGTGTCACACTTCTGGTCATAACTTGACAGGAGAAAAATTCCAGGGCTCATACATTATAAATTACATGCATTCAGCTGAACGTAGAGCTCGTAGCCAGCGCTGTGTTGTGAGCGGTGTAAGCACCAGGACCACAGAGCAAAACAGCTGTTCACAGTCTTCCAGGCTTACTACTGACCTCAGCATTTGTGCCTTTTGATGAATACACAATGCCTAACGACAATTTTAGAGGCAGTTAGAGGGTCAGGAGAGGTGAATCATGCTGGCGTTACCTAAGGTAAGAGAGCAGGAGGTTGTTCTCAAGCGCCTTTAAGAAAGCACTTTCTTTCAGGTTTATAAGTGGACATAAAAGCTAGACAATCCTCTGCCTCAGGTCAGCAAGAGGTAGAGCCATTCATGGGTCATGCAAAGTCCAAGGATAAACACTGACCCGTATCAGGAACAGGAACAACTCTTGGACTGCAGAACTCAGAATCCCTAGAGAGCAAATCCTTTTTACTAACCATATAAATAAAGAGCAGGATTTGGTTCAACACTTTCTCAAACTACCATCACAGTTAGTTTCATTCTTGTCTTCTGTCTCAGTGATGTCAGTTGTTCTAGGTATATGCTCCAGTGATTACCTGCTTCTCACATAAAAGAGTCTCTTTCTAATCTTTATTCAACCAGAAAAATAATTGCACATGTGAAAATTAATTAGGCAGCCTCCATTAATAATTTAGCTGTTGTGACAGGAGCTAACAATTAAAATGAAGAAGCTAGTTTGAGTGTTCTTTTTTTATATTCCTGTCCCATATAAGGGAGAAAGAAATACTTCTTTTAAATTATCTTCACGTTTTGCTCACATTGAGTATTTTGCTATGAACTCAAATTCATTCTTTAAAAGGTGAGGTTTTCTAAGAGTACATCTCCCCAAACTTAATTTCAATAAAGTCTATTTTATAATTCTCCAAGATGGTAGTGTCTATGCATTAACCCCACACTGCAGTCCCAACAGTCTGATTTGCCCCTGGCACACATGCACTGTGCAAATACCACTGAAAAACAGGCTGCACATCACTCTGTCATGCTACTAGACCATGATTTGAAAGCACTCTCCTGATGAAAAAGTATTGATTAACCATGTCTTAGAACATACACTTTTTCATGGTGGAAATAAGTACTGAATGTCTGATTTGTTTCTTTATAATATTAATATGTAAATAGTATTATGAAAAGACATTACTTTGCTGAGTCCTTCCTTATCACTCATAGTCTTTATTTCTGAGAGTTAGGATTCAATTATTAAAAAATGCAAACAAAATAACACCATAACTAATACTGGACAATTTAATGTATTCTAAGTTCTTTCACTGACACAAACATGCAAGGTGTCAAGTACCATCTCTTCCCCTGAATCTCAGCAGCAGTTGGAGGCACTCAGAATCTCTCTGATAGTGCTTAGCATCTTGCAAAATGAGGCACCTGACAAAGAGAAGCGCTTCAATTGTCAGGGAAAAAGTCATCTCACAGATAGTCTATGTCAGCTGTTTCACACAGCGTACCAAGTCTATTTAACAGTTTGAACCAGAAAAGATTGACAGTACCGGGGAGGGCCAAACCTGGACACAGTATCTAGATGTGGTCTAACAAGTGCTGAGTAGAGAGGGATAGCCCTTTCCTCAATCTCTGGCTCTGCCCCTGCTCCTACAGCACGGGGTGCTGCTGGCCTTTGCTGCCAGGGCACACTGTCAGCTCATGCCCAGTTCTCTGCTCACCGGGACCTCCTGGCATTTTCCGCAGAGCTGCTCCCCAGGCAGCTGGTGCCTAGCCTGTGTGAGCGCAACGATGCTCCGCTCGCACCCTTGGATAGTAAACAGCTCTGCTCTGCTGCTGACACTTGGCAGAAGTGCGCACACAGATAGCTACGGCAGCTCTGCTGCTGTGCAGTGAGCTGATGGGCTTCAGGTACTTAGCCTCAGAATTGAGCCCAAACACACATAACACTCAAAAATTCATACTGACTAGTAACATGACCACGCTGGTTCTTGTTAGCAGGTGGCGTAATTGTATACTATTAATATATGAGACCACTTAAAGTCTAAGCACTTAATAAAGAAGTTACTGTCAGCCTGGAACTAGAGCTACATAACTCAGCTCTGCTACACTGCAAATGACTATCACAGATAAGTAATTAGCCCTCTGAAAGAACTTTTTTAATAGCAGTTAATACTTTTCCTCTTTAAAGTTCCTTGTAAAATATAGGTAATTGCCCAGTGGTTAAAGCTCAGTCTGTAAAGTTTACACTAAAAAAAAAAAGAATATGATCTATTTCACAGAAGTGAAATGGTTAAACCAACTTCAGTCAAAAATTGAGTTCTCTTTTTCTTTTTTTTTCTTCTTTTTTTTTTTTTGTGTGTCTTTCATGGTGGATTGAATCAGCAGCACAGGTCAGACTGAAAAGTAGTAAAACCTACCAGCAACTCAGGAGGGAGAGCAAGCTGAATAAATCATATGAACGGAGGCAAATGGCCAGCTACCTAATTTTGAGACCAAAACTGTAAAGTACAGGTACTTTTTTCATTAGCTCTGTTTTAAAACGCTGATGCTTTCATATCTGCACAGAAGAGATGCCTTCCTGTGAAATTCCACAGCAGTTGCTCATATCACAAGAGGAACCTAGACTCCTGACTCCCCTGGTAATTTTCAGGAGTTCCTTGTGTACCATGGGTGCGATCTACTAAGACAGCTGCACTTCAGTAATGGATGATGTCATCCTGAAACGTAACATTTCTAAAAGTTTTCTGCAGCAAGCCCCCTCTAAAATGAATGTAAGGTTCCAAAATATTTCACATCTCATGTACCTCCTGCTGTATGTTTCCTGGGCCTATATCCACCAAGCTAATGGTCTGAGATAATTTCAAGATGAAGGCCTGCATAGCCACAAATACATTCGGACTCAAAGACTCTGAAACTGCATTTGTCACTGACGTCAAACTGGGTATAGCACAGTACATCTTCACCGAAAAATCAGTCCGGATTGTTTCAAATGAGCAAAATACACGTAGAAAAGAAGACAGAGGCAATACCAGCACATTGCTGCCTACATCCTAAATTTCCTTGGCTGAAACAAAAAGGCCTTGGGTCATTGTTCGTAATAAGACACACATCAAACCCTCCTAACTACAGAAAACAAGTTCCCTTGAAAAAAATACATACCAAGTATATTAGCCGTACACTGGAGAATTCCTGAGACATCTTCGGTTTCTTCATCGCCAGAGCAGTCTGTATAGGAGCATCTGTTTGATATATTGTGAAAGTTCTTTTCTGCATCCCTATAACTACAGACAAAAAGGAAAAAATTATAACATCTCTTTATGTAAATGAAACAAATACGAGAGACAAAAATGTCTAAATGAGACAAATATGTTTCAGAAATACTGGTAATTGATCACAGAATCAAAGAATCATAGAATCACAGAACGGCTGAGGTTGGAAGGGACCTCTGGAGATCATCTAGTCCAACCCTCCTGCTCAAGCAGGGTCGTCTGCATGTTGCACAGGACCCTGTCCACACCGTTTTTGAGTATCTCCAAGGAAGGAGACTTCCCAGCCTCTCTGGGCAACCTGTTTCAGTGCTCAGTTCCCCTCACAGTAAAGCAGTTTTTCTTTATGTTCAGAGGGAACTTCCCGTGTTTCAGTTTGTGCCCGTTGCCTCTCGTCCTAATGATGCTGATTTGGTTTAGGGCAAAGACGAGACAGGTTCTGGAGTCTCTTCTTACCTTACTTTTAGGATTCTGCATGTAGAAGCTAAGCCAAAAAATTTAACAGCTGATTATTTTTGGAAGCAACTTCTTACTTCAACTGCCTTGATCCTGTTCCTATTCATATGAAACAGTCTATGTAGTGAAGCAGAATAAGCCCTTAGCTGCCCTCATCTCTTCCCTCTTCTCTCCTTCATCACCCCTCCTCCCTTCATGCATAAATACACACTGATAACATCTCATTAGTAGCCAGGGTATGTGGAATATCATACCAGTATCTGGCATATTCTCTGTAATGAGATTAAAGATATAAAAAAATAGTACCAAAGCGCTCAGTATCAGACATATCTGTTTTCTACGTCATCCCCACTGGGGCGTTGTCTATAATGAAGTTGTACATTAAATTCAAAGCAAGATGTTTATGAGGGAATAGCTAGTATCTAATAGGAAGAATAAATCTTCCTGATATAGCCATGTTACATTAAATTAGCACTGCAAGTATAAAAGCCTAGGTTTCTCTATGGATTTCCTTCTGAAGAGATCTCAGCAAAAATAAAGATATCAAATAACAACTCACTATGCTATCAAGGAGGAAGTCTGTTTTATAGTCCATTAAAGAAAAATTAAAAAGAATACCACCACTGATGAAAGATACAGACCTGTGCTCAGACCAACAAGAAAGCTGCTGCCATCTAAATTATTCTATTTATTTGAATTAGTTTTACTGGATTGTTTTTCTTTAATTCAACAGAAACTCAAACTTTGTTAAAAAAAACAAAGCTTTATACAGGTGCTGATGAGGACTGAAGAGGAAATACAAGTGAAGAAAATAATTTTACAGCAGAGTGATAATGCACTGCGCAAAATATACAACTGGTTTAGCTCAATGCACAGAGAAAAGATTTTCTAATGAGTATTTTATTAACAGTTTTGTTATACTTTCATGCTTTGTTTATACATGTTTAATAACTAGTAACAGTTTTAAGGGTTGGAGTCCTCATCTGGTTAATGTCTGCAAAAATCCACTAACCTTGTTTGCTAGCACCCACTGAAAACTACCAGAAAGGTTTCAAAGTTGCAAGGAGACAGATCCCTTCAAATTACTCTGTCAACAAGTGAGACTGGTTTTGCACATAGAATAAAACATATAAAGAGGACTAGGTTAATCTTAGATTTAAAAAAAAAAAGCTTTTTGGTAGTGAAGGGTCTTGGCCCATTCTACAGTGAGCTACACAGATCTGTGATGCAAGACCACATTGCATGATGGTAGCTCTTATCCTACTTCAGAGGGAGGCTACATCCTGACCCCTCTGGGAGTCCACCCAGAGCCCAAAGTCACAGCACAAAAACATGATCAAGCCAGGAGGCCAAGCCTTTACAAGCCAGTACTACACTGGCTTGTATACTTCCTTGAATAACACAATGGCCATTACTCACTCCTGCTGTTGACCAGAACAAGAGATTTAGTGAGTATTTGTGTGTGTATAGGGGCAAGGGGCAGCGAAAGGAAGTCAAATTTGGGGAATAATGAGGAGCGATGGGAAACATGAGTTACGACTAGGCAACTCATGTGTTAAAAAGCTTTGGCTATATGCTCTCTCTCGTACCTAGGCCAAATATCAAGAAGAATACAATACCCACAAGCATGCAGAAACAGCTCCATACATTGTGTACATTAGTCCTTTCCTTTCAGATTTCTCCCCGCCACACTCCGAGAGCTGGCTCCTCTTTCAGGGCTTCTGTTAAGCTGATCTTTATCTGGTCCCCTGAAGACAATCTATGCTGCTCTGTCTGGTAAGCCACAAGGCTACTCTTAGCCTTAGGAAACCTCAGGACTTCACAGATGCACCAACAGAGCACACTTTGTGAAATATTTCTATCTTTGATATATTTTGCGCAAGCATTTTCAGTATGCCAGTAAGGCCTTTCTAGCCTATGGGCTGCTTCTCCATGCATGCCTCATGATCCCACAGCAGAGTCCTACATAAAGGCTGCTGCCTACCTCGGACATGAGCCTTGCAGTCCACTCAAGTGCCAGGCTACCATCACTCACTTTCCCAGATATGGCTCACATTAATGCCTCCATGGACAGGGGTGACTTTTCTTAACCTCTTCCCTCCCCTCATTATTCAAAAACCCGGGAGTACATCCTATAGACTTTCTCCATCATCTACCCAGCATCTATCTAACCATGAGCCCAAATGCCTCTGTCCTGGAAAGAGCTTAAGAGTTTTACCCCAGAATCAACAAAGCACCCAGGGGCACACACGAGCTGCAAGGGAGGGAGGAAAGAGTCTTCCAGACATTGTGTGTGGGAAGGATTTGAAATCAAGCTGCTAGGAGCCTGAAATGAAGACAAACAATAAGGAAAAAAGCCTATGCATTTGTCTCTCTTCCTCTTCCAAAAACCAGTACTGTTACGCCTAAATAATACGGCCTTAAAATGCAGGAAATCATGAAAGAGCACAACCCATTCAATCTCTCCAGGTCAGCTTTCAAATCAAGATTGTGGGTAATCTGCCAAAGCACCCAGACAGCACCTCTGGAGAGAACAGGTCAGGTCACCCTCTCCCAGACAGAGACTTTCCAGAGGAAGACAATGCATCCAGACTATCACTAAGGAGTTGTAGATCCATCTCTAACATCCTCCTAAATGCAAAAGATACTTCTAACACACCCATACACCCCTACTGTATCTTAGGCACTGGGATTATAGGGTCTGGAGACAGGTCAAGACACTTCAAAGTCTCATGTTTAAACTTCTGCATTTTCCATCATTCTGGAAAAACAGTCTGTCCACAGCTTGGGTAGCCCCATGCTCGTCTGTAAAGAAAAATGCAGTTTAAATGCTTCTTTAATGCCTGTGTAATATACAAAACCATGCTCTTTTTTTCTCTTGCTTGAATCATACCTAAATATTTGGGCCTGCACATTTACCCTAAGAAAATCAAATTCTCTTTCCTGTTTCACTGAGTGTTTCTGTTGGACTTTTATACTTGCATTGCATTATTCCCAAAGCTCTGGAGATTGTCTCTCAGGTCTCTCACGAAGGGGATGAGGAAAGAACCACTCCTCACACCCAAAAGAGGCTCCAGAAGCACTAGAAGAGGCATCTCAGCAGCTGAGGAGGGGGCTCTTGAATCAGTCACAGTGAGAGCAAGGGGGACCCTTCACCATTAAGCCAGTCAAATATGATTGTTTAGAGAGGCTGGGGAGTCTCCTTCCTCGGAGATATTCAAAAGCCATCTGGACAGGGTCCTGTGCAACGTGCTGTAGGTGACCGCGCTTGAACAGGGCGGGGTTGGACTAAATGATCTCCAGAGGTCCCTTCCAACATCAACCATTCTGTGATTCTGTAAAACTTGCTGGGGAGCTTTAGGACCTACAGGAAGCCAGCCTGACTCCAGGTTTTTTGTTAGCAGGTGCTCAGACACCAGTAATCAGCACTCCAAGACTGGGGAGGGAGTTTCAGGGAATGGTGAAGGAAACCAAGGAGAAGGGCTGGGCTGAAGCACACCCAGGAAAAGGGGACAGAAGAGCTTGATTCAGCTAGGGTGAGCTGCTCCTGCCCATGCATGCTGGGCTCCCTCCCACCACACCGTCATTCCTGGGAAGCCACAGCCTTGGCCGCCCTCACCATTCTTAGGCCACTGCCCAGCCTGGCTGCTGCAGGCTTCAGCTTGGAGGGTACTGATGCCTTGAGCCTGGCCTCCTGCTTCTGCTCACAGCCTTATCCAGGTGGTTGTTAGCAGCACAAGGCATTGCTGTGCATTGAAATCAGTGCAGACTCTGACTCTATCCTAGTGAATGAAGAGGTCTTCTCTGGCACTGAAGTTCACTGGCTCACATTTAGTTAAGTACAGGCTACTCAAAGTTGCTTACCCTCCAGAACACAAGTGGATGCACACAGACTGCCTAGTGGGCATGAAAATAGCCCCTGGCTTCTGCTATCCCCAGGCAAGCTGTGGAAATCATTTGACAGAATGCTAGTTGGCCCCAGCCAGAGCCACTCCAGCGGCTGCTCTGACAATCAAGCCTCAATGGTTGGAGATGTTCCTTGCTCTGTTTAATTTGCTAGTACAGAGTAGCACAGAACACAGAAGCAAGACAGTCCCTTAATACAGTACAGGTTACAGGCTAATGAGCAGTATGTGATGCAAACGAGTTGAGGACACAGTGCAGCTAGAAGAGCCTAGAGTGTTGGGGTGACAAAGGTGTCTGGAGTAGCAGGTAAGACCAGACTCATTCTTGCTGAACTACAGTGTCAACCTCATGTATACCAGAAGCAAGCTAAGTAGCAGAGACACGACAGCACCCATAACACAGATACCAAACTCATGTCTGAACTAATGCACAGCTACCGAATGCTACGTGTATTCCATCAGTAAAGACCATGGGACAGGACAAACAGACACAGAAACTACTTTAACAAATTCATATTGACTATGAATTTGACATTTGATTGCATAATCAAAAAATTAAAGCAAAGTGTACTGTATATCATAGTGATTACAGGTTTTTCAAGTGTCTTGCTTTTAAACTTTTTTCACCAAAATAAGTAGATCTAAGCCACATGTGGCCATAAATTAAAAGCTGCATTGTTACTGCACACATACTTTTCCCAGGGCACTTCAACCACTGAAGTCTCCTAACAAGAAACTTAAAGCAATTTTTTCAGTAACTGAAAAAAATATTTTGCTAGAAGGCTTCTCCCTCTGCTTGTTCCATGGTGGATGTCGTAACTACCTGCAAAGAATGGCTCCCTCAGGTGCCAGCCAGACATGCTATCATTATAAATGTCACCTACCAAGCAAGAGCTCCCTTTGAATTTTAACTAAACGTTGAAAAACAAACAGGGATAATTCCCTTCAGTGCACTGAGCTTCAAATCTATGCCGTAAGTTCTACAAAGACCCTTAACGCAGCTTGAAAAAAATTACATCTGTGTAATTAAATTCAGAGAAGGACAGTACTTTCCATTTGCCATATGGCAGAGGAACTTATTGGCTATACGCATGCATTGGATTTCTGACTGGAAGAATAAGTTATCTGCAACAATAAAATACCTGTCAGGTAAGGAGATGGCTGAAAAGAGATTATTTTAATCAATGGGAAAAGACCTTGGATTTTCATGATGGTAGTAGCTATTATTTTCTTTTTACTCCTCAGTCATCTCAATTTTCTCAGTCAACTGCCAAGAGAGGGCTTTCAGCCCTGTTTCTGCAAAAGCTTGCAAGTATGTGACAGTATACGTATGCAACAAGTACTGATGCAGGATTTTGCAAATTTGGGCCTCAGGTCATAGCATGTCAGCCCAGGAGCTGCCATTTGCTGTTAAGTTTTGGGTTTGGTTTGGTTTTTAACACTGTGTAACCTCTGACTAAGCCGAGACAGAAACATAAGTAATAAATAAGTCATTTGTCCAGCCATCTCAGTTGGGTCAATGCAAAGCAAATATGGATAGATCTTGTACTTTTACTTTGTACTTCCTATGTTTGCATAGGAAATTTCACAGCCAGTGGAGTACTCCTCTAATGGAATTGCACGGAAGCAGGACTGGAGAGCAGTTTATCATTAACATCTGTAATGTGTATGGTTATTCCAAATCACCTCTAAGAATTTGTGAGAAAATTTAAAAAGCTTGTCACCCAAGGCAGTGACTTAGAAAGCATAGAGGAAAAGGTTATCATGCACCTTTCCCTGACCTTTCATGAACACTTACCCAATCACTTGATGCTCAAAGTACTGCAGTGTCCTTTGAAGAGTTTGCCGAATGGTCTGAGGCTACAGAAGAATAATAAACAAAAACCATAAAATGAGGGCAGTATAGCACAGCTCAATTAACATATCTTTTAACATACTATTTTTTTTTTTCCAGTTTTACCCTTCATTTTCTACCTGCGAGGTGCCCATAAGAGTAAGGGATACAAAACATTCTTGCCTTATTTTTTACTTAATAGGAATTTAAATAGGAATGAATTTTACAATACAACATAATTAATACTGCTTATAAGATAACAGCAAGCACAATTGTGCAGAACAAAGGAGTCACTTTACTATTCATTCTCACAGACCATCACCTATGAATAATCTCATCATTTACCTATCAACGATCTCTTATTCTGAAATAATTAATATAAATCAATCTTCAAAAAAATGCTATTATATTGAGATACAAGTATCATCAGGGAAAGGCATTGTGTTTTTAAACTTCACATACTCCTTAGAGAATTTTGTATTAAAGAATATTATAAAGATGTAATTTATTTTGGCTGACTTTCCTGACCAGCTGTGAATCTCCAGACATCTTTTAAATCACCAAGATTCAAGTTCATCAAACAAAAAGATGAGATGAGATGATGTATTCCAAGCATTTCTATACTATTTTATTTTAATAGGTAGTCACCAAACTATGTATATGCATATATGCGTTTATTTTTAATTCTTACTACTAATACTACATCTGCTGTTACTACTGTTACTTTTATTTTGAATTAACTCAGAGATCAACTCAGAGAGATCTTTGGGTGAATCAAGCAAACGCGAAATCCATGTCATTCTCTACAGAATTTCCTGCATCATGACTGGCTTGTGCCAAACAAAGGTACCCAATGTGGATTTATAAGCCTCCCTTCTGTATCAAAGACACAAAGGGATGTTTTGATCAAACTTTCAGCAGTTCAGATTCTGGAGATACTTGGTATTTCCCCACTCTTTGGAAAAAAAAGAAAAATCTAGCTATTTTGGAAAGCAATGGTTGAAATGGGCCTTTATTTGAGGTATTTCATTCTAAAACCACCATCAGCTTTGAAAATCTCAAATTCTGCTGACCACAGACCCAGCAGTTCAAGAGCTGGCCTTTCTTCTTACTCTTTTTACTTCCTTTTTAATAGCCAACTATAGGAACTTGTCTGCCCTTTTGAATTCAAACGTGTAGAAATGCATGCACTTACAAAAGTAAGCTCAAAATAGATGTAGACCTTGAAAGAGATGTTTTTTTTTTAAGCTAATTCTGTACCAGATGATTACTTCTCTTCTCTGCAGGAGCTAAGTTTCCTGCATCAAAAGACACTAGAAGTTACGTGTTCTCTTCCAAAACACAATGGAAGCACCATATAAGTGAATCCTCATATATCAAAGAACCATCTCTTTTCAATGGTACAGCAGGTATTTAAGTTCTTAGACTTTACGGGCTACGAATATATTTCATGGCATGCTCTCACAGAGACTCAGAAGCTTTCCTGTGCTCAGCAGGCACAAAAAAATCAATTTTCCACATATAGAAAAGATATATTTTCCCACTCTAGCAAGCAGACAAAGTAGTAATGGCTTTAAGTTAAGAGGTCCAGAGAGCTGCCATCTCCCATTTCTACGGCACATTTCTCTCCACCTCACTTCCTACAAACAGAGCTTAAGTACTCCACCAACTCCTCCTCTGAAGTGAGATGGGACACGGTGGCAGTTTTTGATTGTTACATTAAATCTCCCTTCTAGTTCCCCAAAGTGCTTTTACAGTAAGCATATGGAAGGCAGGCAAGCAAAGAGGAAGGAACACAGCTTTCTCTCTTCTAGAGAAGTTTTACAGCTTAGTAACGCTTTGAGTAATCCTTCATGGCTTGTCTTTGCCCTTCTCATACCTGATACACAGCTGTTGCACCCATTTACCCAGGGAAAATCCACTTTCAATACCTCCAAATGTGACCATATAAGCAATCTCCAAATCCTGAACTCACTTCATCAATACTCCTCACTTCTCCTGCAGCACTGAATGAAGTAAGAATGGTCCATATATTGTTAACTACCTCTTCTCTAAGCTAAATTATCTGCCCAGCTATTGTCAGACAACTGTAAACAATTCTATGAACTCATATCCCTTTTTACTGGCATTTCCTATTAAATCTTAGAAATGAAGTACAGACAAAAAACATGATGTATGATTAAAACACTGGTCATAAACAAAGCTCTGTGTAATATGCTCATAGTTAATATGAAAACTGACCTGAAGAGTCCAAGTCTTTCTTCATTTCTGACAAGAATTATTATGGCATGTCACTGTGCATGGTTAAAGAGCCATTGTGCTCACCACCTGAGTTGGCTGTATTTCATTACTGGTGAATGTAATTGTAATATAGATGTAATTCTCTAATTATGACTATATTGCCATGACTAAACAAAAGGGAGAGAAGATATATGACTCTTGTTTACAGCTGCCTACAAGGGCTGCTCAATGTATTGCTTCTTCCACTACTGACTATACATTCCCTATGGGAGAGAAGGGGTGGACAGGAAAACATTTCCATCTCTTTTTTGCATCCAACTGCAAGACTTGACAGAGATAAAATAGCTATACCTTCTTCTAGTAGCATGATGCACATCATCTCTCCAAGAAGCACAGCTTAAGAGAGATAAAACACAGCCTATAACAATACACCACCTCCACCACAAAGTAATTCTATTCCATACAGGTACACAATGGCCCTTATTTACTGGAGAGGTTTTAAAGCTTTGTGAACGCTTAAAATAAAAGACTTACTATGAACGTCAAATAGTGACTATTCAGTAAATATTAACAATGCATCTGATTATAACAATTAACTAGTATTTAGTATGTTTTCAAGAAGGAATAGTCATATCAGTTCAGGTTTCCAAGGGCAGTTCAAATTAAGACAGGCCAGTAATGCTATCGTTAACTCTAAATTAATCCAAGAATTGCCATACAAGATCATATCCAAGCTCCATCTGAAATGATGAAACATAAGGCAGAAGGGACTAATGAAGAAATGTGGACTGATCTCTTGCTTGACAGAGGCCACAGAAATTTACTGAATTAAATCTGAATCCAGAGGTCAGGCTATGGCAAACTCTAAACGTGTCAGAAGAAGCTGTAAACACCGAAGAATCACAGAACTGTGTACATTTGAAGGAACCTCTGGAGGTCACCTAGTCTGACCTCCTGCTCATAGAAATTCCAGTAAGAACTGGTTGTTCAGGTCTTTCTCCAGAGTTTCTCTAAGGCTACGGATCCCATAGCCTTTCTGGGTAACCTGTGCCAGTGTTTGGCCATCGTCATGACAGGTTTTTATCTTCCTTACATCAAAGTGGAACTTCCCATCTTCCAACTTTGTCTGTGACTCTTCTCATGGCTGCACACTGGAAAGATGAAAGGCCATCCTGGTAGCCCTCTGCTAGCCCCAGTATGGATCCCTGAGGGATATCTATCGGTAACTGGCTGCTAAGGTCCAGTCAGTTTTCCAGCCACCTTATAATCCACTTCTCCAATCCATTTCTCATCTGTTTAGCTCTAAGGACACTATGGGAGACCATGCGAAAGACCTTCCTAAAGTCAAGGTAAACAACCTCCATTGATCTCCCCTCATCCACTGAGCCATTCATCTCATTACAGAGGTCAATCAGGTTGGTCGACACAATTTACCCTTAGTAAACCCATGCTGGCTGTTCCCAACCACTGTCTTAGCCTTCTTGTGCTCAGAAAAGGTTTCCAAGAGGATTTGCTTCACAACCTTCCCAAGGACTGAGGTTAGGCTGACTGGCCTGGATCTTCCTGCTTGCCCTTCTTGCAGCTGGGTATAATGTTTGCCTTTTTCCAGTCATCAGGTTCTTCCCCTGATCACCAGGACCCTTCAAAGATGATAGCCTCACAATGACTTCAGCCAGCTCCCTCAGCACCCTCAGATGTAATCCACTTGGTACAATGCGCTTGTGCACGTCAAGCTCACTTAAGCACTCCCTTACTCTGTCTTCTCCTACTGTTGGTAATGCTACAATCCCACAGACTCTGCTAGCAGGCTTGGGGAACTGGGATGCTTTTCTGTCTCCATCCCTACATATTTGTGCAATGCCTTTGTACTTCTGGGTAGCCCGTCCCTGCTTCCACCCTCTGTGGACTTCCTTTTTGCATTTGAACTCAGCCAGGAGTTCCCGGTTCATTCACACTGACCTTCCTTCATGGTTGCTCAAATTTATGCACATCAGAATGGCCATTCTTGTACTTTCCAGAGGGTGTCAGGGTGTCCTTGAAGACCCCTTTACTCTCCAGGCTATTTGCCCATTGGATCCTGCCGAGATGATTCACGAAGCAAGCAAAATCTGTTCTCCCGAAGTCTGGAGTTGTGATTCCACTATTTGTCTCTCTCACTTCTCTCAGTATTTTGAACTTCACCATCTCATGGGCACTCTAGCCAGGGCTGCCCTTGATCTTCACACATTCAAACTGTTCTTCCTTGCTTGTGAGCAACAGGTCCAGCAGAGCGTCTCCCCTCATCAGCTCATTGATCATCTGTATCAAGAAATTGTCCTCAACACACTCCAGAAATCTCCTGCATTGCTTGCAGTCTGCCATATTGCCCTTCCAGCAGATTTTGAAGCAGCAGGTTGGTTAAGTCCACCGTAAGTACCAGGACCTGCAATTTTGAGGTTTCCTCCAGCTGCCTAAAGGCTTCCTCTGCTTTCACATCCTGATCAGGAGGCCTGTAGCAGACGTGTACTACGACGCCACTCATGTTCATCTGTTCTCTGATCCATACCCACATGCTCTTGGCTAGCTCATCCCTCATTCTAAGGTAACAGTGCACTCCAGATGCTCCTTTGCGCAGAGCGCAGCTCCTCCTCATCTCTTTCCTAGCCCATCCTTCTCAAAAAGCCTGTATCCATCCACACTGCACTGCAGTCCTGTGAGACACTCCACCCAATCTCTGCAATCCTGTATGAGATCCCAGCTCTGTAGCTGTGCTGGGACATCTGATCGCTCCTGTTTGTTCCCCGTGCTGCCTGCATTTGTCAATAAGCACTTGAGATGGGCCCCCAGTTGTGCTGCTTTCACAAGGCGAGCATGAGACCCCTGCTGTCCCCCAGGTGCTTCTTCACTGCCTCCTCTGCCTCCAGTTCTCTTTAGAGTAAGAAAACTCTTCTCCAACATACGTAGTTTAAAATCCTCCTCTCAAGATTATCAAGCCTGCTGGTAAAGACCGTCCCACCCTACTTTGTCTAATGAATCTCATTCTTGTTCAGCAGTCTTTGTTCCTCAGAGATGGTCCCATACCCATTGAAGCCAAAGCCCTGCCAGCAACACCAGCCATTCAGCCAGGTGCTGGCTTACTGGATGCGTCCACTCCAACCTGAGCCTTTCCCCCTCACCAGCAGGATCAAAGAGAAACCACCTGGGTCCCTAGCCTCTCACCCCCAGAACCCTGTAGTCATTCCTGATCTGCCTAAGCTTTCCCATGGCTGTGTCATTGGTTGCTCACATGGGTGAGGAGCAGGTGCAATAGTTCAACAGCCAGAAGAGCCTCGGAAGCCTCTCTGCAGCTATCCCATGTCCAAGCTTCTGGCAAGCCACAAACCTCCTGAGGCAGCAAATCAGGTGGGCAGATGTATGCCTCTGACTCCTCAGGAGAGGGTCTCTAATAGCTACCACCCTCCTTTTCTTCTCTATGCAGACACTTGGTTGAGGCTCAGCTGGGCTGGCTCTGATGCCTCACCTGAAGGGAGGTCACCTCTCTCACTTGTTCCCAAGGCACTGTACCTGCTCAGTAACTGCAGAAACACAGGTGGAAAAGAGGCCTTAGATGTGTTACCATAAGGGACAAGCCTCCAGCCTTCTCCATCTCAGGAGTTTCCATTCACTATTCCTGTGAAGGTAGTCTCTAGTTGTCCCTCCTTCCTTGCAACATGGGGCTTGCATTCTTGGCTGTGCAGGGACTCTGCAAAGACCCTGCCAATCTCCTGTTTATCCTCCCTAATGTGTACGGTTTGCTCACCTTCTCCTACAGCTCTTTCCTCTCGCAACTCAATGCCTCATCCACAGCACACAGCCCAGAGGTGAGGTCACTGCCACCCCAGCCCCAGGAAAGAGAACTACGTGCTCTCTATAACCAGAGACAAACTGCGGCATCCTCCCTCAGTCATTCTGCGGCCCCTGCTGTGCTATGGACAGCTGCTCCAGCTGGTGTCACGATCTTGCCTTGCACCACCATTGTTGCACTGCCTTGAGCAGCAAATCTGGGCCCCATAGCACCCCTCCTGTGACAACTGCTGTGACTCTGTTAGCTGCCTCTCTTTGCTGCACTCACCTTGCAGGATGCACACATGATGAAATCTGCCTTTTCTCTTAGATCTCACCCTGGTTACTAGTAGTGGGAAACTGGTTAAAGACATGAAGCCAAGGGAGTAATACCTCTTCAGAGGTGTTTTAAGACTAACTTTCATCATTCTGAACATAGTTCATGAACATCTATGTCTAACCTATCTTCAAATCTTCCGGTTTTCGACCTCGGTCAACTTCCTTTGAAAAAGAATTCCAGTTTAAATAAACATTGTGATTTTTTTTTTTTATTATGAATTTGAATTTCCCTCATTTTAACTTCATTACCTCCAGCTTTGGAGACAAGGGGAAAAGAAACTTCAACTTTAATTGCACTTCTTGTTATAAATGTCTTTCCTAGGACAATCAACCATAAGCTTTAAAATCTGTTTCGCAGGACAGAATTTTTAGCCTATTCCCTAGCCATTTTCTGTTGCCTCTGAAATGTCTTATGTGATTGCAAAACCATTGGGAATAAACAGTAGGGTTCATCTGCCCAAATGTAGGCACCCAATTGTAGGTACTCAAGGTGATTCATTTCACTTTAAGTTTGCCATCTAATACTCACTTGAAGACTCTTCCTTTAGGAATATCTATTTCTGTCTTTGTCTAAAAAGGAAACAGAGTGACTGCTTTAGACTTACACAGTTTTTAAATGTTTAAGTAAGAGCAGAAGAATCTCTCCCTGAGATGACAGTAGCACACAGTATCCCAGATGACGCAATTCAAGTCTATATAAATGCAGTTGCGTGTCCTTCATCGCATTCCTTTTGCGTCTTATGATAACAGGTTAGTATTAAAGAAGAAAGAAACCGTACAGAGCTGGGAAGTCTGAAATGGGAGAGCAGCCAGGTGCACAGATAGTTTCTCCCTAACCCTAACAGGGCTTCAAAGATTTTTCCTAGTAAAATCTAAGTGGCTCCTAGCTGAGCCTCTAAAGTGCTTCAGTAGACATACTCTTAAAAACTTGAACACTTAAAATTTTAAACATGAAAGCTGAAGCACTGAAGAGTAAAATAGGCTCAGCTAGAAACCACTTTGCTTCTATCAGAATTTTTTTTTCAAGCAAGCCAGTCAGATCAGGGAGCTCCTCTAGATTTTTATGCCCTGCGGAGCTGCAAAGTTCTTCCTAAAGGAACCACAGTTCTGCACACTGAAGAGACAAACTATCAGAGACCTCATCCAAATTAGCACTTTGATGTTGAAAGTTTTAAATGCTTCAAATTTGTAGAGTTGAATCAAAACACATCTACTGAGTTTAATTGTCAGCTTCACTGCTGGTGATCTGTCATTAGTGAAAAACACTTTTTTCATATTTCAAAACCAATTTTAGTCAAGGTTCTGTGCATAGGTGATTATAGATCTCTAAGCACGCATCATTTGGTGTGCACCTGGCCCATCTGTGAGGAAGTAAATGGCAGAATAATAATTTTCATTTCTAGTCTTTTTGTAGTATTTACTCTATGGTCATGAAAGCACTGGAAAATTGTTATTTCCCTGTCCTTCTGGTCACCAAAATATTGATGTTCAAGGGGCAGTAAACAAAGAATCAAGGCTCCAGTTGAAGACAAAAAATTATCAACATTCCCCAAAAGCCAGGAGTTCAGAGATAAGCATTCTGAAATTGCGGAGACTAGAGAAAAAACAAATTAGAAAAGGAGAGGAAGGATCATTTGGCACCTGGCAATTTTCTGATGATGTGTGAAGGAGAAATACTCCCTAGCAGGTCCTTGGATGTCTTGTAGAGCAGGGATCCCTCCCTGTCACCTTCCCAATAGCTAAAGAAGGAAATAAAAGGGGGCAGAGAGAAGTCAGAAATGAGGAAGCAAAGCCTCAACGTAAGCAAACATTTGAATATGCAAAACATCATGGTTTGGGTAGTTTGTTTTAAGAATAAAATTAAGGAAATATTTTCTTTTTGCTGTCTAGCTTCCAAATCTTCAGGGTGCACTTTTTTCTTTCCTGTAACCCTACAAGCTAAAAACGTATTTTTCTTCTTGAAGACCAGCTTCTTGATTCCAGAAGTTTGGGTTTTAGATAAGAACACCAACTGCTTGAAGATCTCCATGACTAGCACCAGATTTAGTATCAAGAGAGGAAGATCCAGAACCCCCAGGAGGAAGGTTTTGGGGGATCTAGAGCAGGAAGACTGAAGGCCAGAGGCAAAATGAGTTGGCCCTACAACACGACATTATGATCCAGATCGGTATGAGTGAGGACACAGTGCCAGAGCTCAGTATCACCTGACAGCTAAATTTGAGACCATTCTGCTTTCTAGTTCATACACGCTGGGGTGTTCTTCACTGGGAAATACTTGTGCACATAAGAGAAAATGCCTTAATTTAATAACTAACATTAAGACTAAGAATTTTAACCCATACTATTCCATGGTAATAACAATGCAACGTTCCAAAGAAATAAAATAGAACTAAATAATAATTAGAAATTATAACTCGTGCATCCCCAGCTGCCTTTCAGTTAGAAGAATCACAGACATTACAGATGGAAATTGCCTATTAGACCACCTAATCTACCTTCTTGATAGTGAGGGATAAATATCTCAGGGTACTATCTGTTATAAAATGGGCTGGGATCTCTTTGTTCATCCTTGACTTTCAGCCATGTGTGGAACATACAGAAAGTGTATTCTGTGCTGCAGAAAAAATACTTTCAGTAAGTGGAAATATAATAGATAATGTACTTTTAATGTAACCTGTTCATCTTTTAACCTACCTGACATCTACATAAAATCATCAGTGCTCCTCTAGGAGACAGGTAGGAAATGAAAGGCTTTACATGTTAGCCCTGCTCAGGGAACTTCTCCTGCTGGGATAGAACGTACTCAATTTCCTCAGTATAAATGGGCTTAATTTTGTATGCTGAGCTGCACTGAAACTTATTCCCTTGAGACCAATAGGGAAACCACATATTTTTTGTCTTCATCTTGAAACTTAGTTTTATAGTTTGCAAGCAGACATATCTAGAAAGAATTTTAATATGAGATGGAAATACTTCTTTTACTTGAGGCATGTTGTAACAGCCTTCAACATTAGCACAAAAGCAAAAAGGAAAGAGAGGGCTCTCCTCTCTGCTAACTTCACAAGTTTCAGGAGGACTACATTGAATCCCTGTGAAGTAATAAGCCTCTCCTCTCAAGCAGTTGCAAAGGAAGGACATTCACCCTCATTTTAATGTAGCCATGACGGTATACCGCTTTTCAGGAGTGCGCATTGGTAGTTATGTTCCCTTCTACTTTACAACTTTCTCCTCTATTACTTGCAGGTAAACACTTCGACCATGGGGAGAGGCAAAGAAGCACAAAACAATTCAGATCAGTTTTGTAGCACTAACACTGGTGCTGTTACACTGTGGTTTGGTGGCCAGGGGTTGAGATCTGACTGTGGACAGGCCTGATCCCCAAAGGGGATTTGGTATCTGCTTTCACACAGCGAAGATATATGCAACGTACAAATG